TTCTGCTTTTGCTCAGCCGTGGCCCTGGTAGAGCCCAGTGAACCAGTTACAAAGGGGTTCCTGAACCAAAGGGGATTTTGCAAACGAACGCAGCGTCATAGTGATGGAGACGGGTCAAGCCCCGTTCTCTGAGCAGCTTCCACTGCCAGGCGGTTTGTGCCCGAGGTGCTGCTGGCTGCAGCGTACGCCGGGATCTCCTGGCCAACTGATTTTGTGTTACAGATAAGATACACAAAAGGGCAGCACAGACCCAGTGCTTGCACCACACGTCAGAGGTGCGTGTCCTCCAAAGAGCGCGGAGCTGTTTTAGGGAAGGGACACAGTTAAAGTGACTTATATGTGCTATTTGGAGAAATTAATATGGCAATGAAGCTGTAAGTGAAGTTAGAAAGGAGTGCTGGTAGATGCTCAGATACCCCCCGAGCAATTATACAGGGCAAATTAGATTCTTGATAATACCCTCAAGCTCTCTTCCCTAAGTCGCTCCTTTTCACTCTGTATCTGTGCATCTATTTTAGGATGAAATTTTCAATTCAGCACAGATGTTCAGAACTGGGTTCCATGCAGTAACGATCTTTCCACATCATTTTCCCTTTTGCACTAGAAATTACGAACAGAGGAAGGAGCTGGAGCCAGCAGCAGCTGTTGGAGCCTGGGTAAAACCAGACGCTGGGTATCGCCACGGGGCGATGGTGCTGCCTGGGGGGGGACAGCGCGGGGGTGCTGAGTGCTCGGGGTGACCTGGGGCAGGGAACAAAACACAAACCCGCAGCCCCAGGCGGGATAGGTGGGATGCCCCCCCCACCCCCACCCCGCACAGGCTGTACCCCCACTTTCTGACTGGCAGCAGAAATACCTCACGCCGGGTTTTATCCACCGCCAACGAGCACACGCTGGCAAGAGAGCTCGGTGCCGAGCCAGGCTCTTCTTCTTGCTTCTCGTTGGGGATTTCAGCACACCCCACGCTCCCACCGCGGCGGGTCCCGGGAGCCCCCAGAGCCGTTGGCCAGCGCCCAGTGCCGAGCCAGCCCCGCAGCTCAGCCGGTGTTAAACGTGCCTCCACCGAAACAGCCGGCGAGCACCGGGGCGGCTCTGCCGCGGGACGGCGGAGCCGAGGGCGAGACGTGGCGGTGGGAAAGGGACGAGCAAAACCCCTCCAAAACCACCTGGGCTCCGCGCCCCGGCACGGCGCAAAGGCGCGACCCCTGGCAGGCCCATCTTGGTTTGCCAAACGCGCAGACGAACACCGAGAGAGACCCCACGCTCGGGCGAGCGCCAGGAGAAGGTTTGCTCCGGTGCGCGCTGCCGGCGGGGCGCGGAGGCTGGTCTCAGCCTCGGCGAGACACGCAGCGGAGCTCGGCCCGTCGCCGCAGGAGTTTCCCCCGTGACACTGCACCCTACTAACGCAAACAGCGAGACGCTCGGTTCGTTTTGTGTAGGTTTAAGGCTCTTTAAAACCAGCCGCACTTGAGAGGAGGGTAGAAAGCAGCAACTTCCACTACTGACCTTTTCCTGGACCAGAGGTATGGATTTAGAAGAGAAAAACAAGATGTGGGTGGAAAAGGCAATCAGCAGCACTGCTTTACAGAAGGGTTTGGTTTGGTTTCCTTAAACTGCATTTTGCAATGCCCCGTTCCCGTCGCCCCAAGGGGGGCTGACCACGCAGTGCTGTGCCGCCTGCTCTTTGCTCTCAGAAGAGCACAACCTGTCTTCCCCCATCCCGTAATTGTCACTCGTCTCTTGCCACTATTTAATTGATTGCTTCCCTGTCGGTGCCGGGTATTTGCCAATATATGGCACAACAAACTTGCTAAATTCCTGGGATGGGTAAAAGACCCCAAACTGGCCATTTGTTGGTACCGAGGATGCAGATGCGATGAACGCTGCTCAGCTGTACCCCTGGTGCATTTTTGGGGTGCTTAGGAGGAACTGCACTTCCAGCGCGTTCCTGAAACCTCTCTGACTCAATTCCTCCTGTGGTTTATCAGCACAAGGATAATGCACCTTCTCATGCCTTCACTAACCCCCACAAAAACACGGCGCATTGACTTCGTACTTGCTTTCAGCTTGTTCCTTGAATCTATACAAACAAGAGAGACTTTTCTGTGCCCCCGGCACCCCCGGCCCCGGGGGCTGCAGGCGGGGGTCACCCAGCTCAGCTCCTTCACCAGACAGAGCTTTTGCAGAAGCACCACAAAGCACCATCAGGTCCCGATACCCCCACCAGCCATCCCCCCCCCCCCAAACCCTCCCCGGGGCTTCCCCGCACCCCCAGCCAGCAACGCGCGATGAGAAATTCCGGTTAAAGCAGCTGCACGTCAGCTGCTGCGGGGCCTTCCAGCCCTGCCTTTCCAACGGCTCTGCACAGCAATAAGCTGAAAAGCGTTCTGAGAGGGGTCGCCCGAGGGGAGAGCCCCCCCACCTCTGCTGCAGGAGGCCCACCCCCCCCTCGATCCCTCAAAAGCAGCACCACAGGCCCGTTGCCACCCCGCGCTTGAATCACTCGCCCCCATGGCCACCACAGAGGCACAAACCCAGGGGGACCCCCCCCCAGGCCCCAGCGCCGCTCTGCACAGAGACCCAGGAACGAGGCGAGCTGGGCTGGGCCTCGGTGAGGAGACCCCAGCCAGGGCTGGACAAGCACCGGGGCAAGGTCCCCCCCCAGGGCTGGGGCCCTCCCGAGGCTCCGGTGAGCTGCTGCTTCCTGGAGCATCTCCCCCAGGGAGCCCAAACCGTGCCCACCCCAGCCACCAGCAGCAACCAGCTCCCACCTGCACGCCCGGAGGTCACCAACTCCTGCCCGGCTGCCTCCAGCCCTCGCCCCCAGCTGAGCCCCAGCATGCCCATCCCCACCCACCCCCCCGGGGGCTGCTCAGCACCATCACAGCCACCTGCCCAATTCTCCAAACCTGCCTTCCCCGGCAGCTCCGGGGCTGACACCCACCATGGGTCCCCCAGGCCCACGGTACAACTTCAAGAAGGAAATAAGCTTATTTTATTATGCAAAAAGACCCTCAGAATTATTCTGTTTCCTTCCTCCCAATGCCATTCCCTGCTCTCATCACAGATCACACAAACGCAGCTCAAACTCCTTTTTGGGTTTCTGCTCCTCCTTCCCCAAAGCCTGGGCATCCTTCCCTTGTTTCATAACACACCTCAGCTGCAGGCACAGCCGGACCCCATTGAACAAAAATGTTGCATTCTGGTTTTAACCACCGTTATGGCTGTGGTTATCGCTCTCCTACCTGTTACCAGCCCGGCCAGCTCTGGGCCTCCCGCGCTGCTTTGGCAGCTCCTTCCCGTGACTCCCCCCCAGCATCCCGAGCCGTTTTATTTCTCCGGGCTGCAGAGCTGCTGCTCGGCCCCTGCCTGGCCCCTCCGGGGGGGGGGGGGTGGTCCTGGGTGACCCCGATGTCCCGTGGGGCTGGTGACCCCGGGGCAGGGCCACCGAGCAGCCCCCGGCCGCGGGAGCACCGACTGGGAGCAGCCCCGTTAACCACGGGAGCCTCCGTGGCTGCCCTCACCTGCTAGAGAGGAAAACAAAGCCAGGTTATTTTTGCAAACATAGAACACTCGTGCTGCTCGACGCGTTTTTTTTTTTTTTTGTTTTGTTTTGTGTTTTTTTTTTTTTTTTTTTTTTTTTTTTTTTTCGCTTAGCAGCCGAATGCAAGGACAGATTACAATGCTGGTGTCACCACGAGCACGGATGCAAGCGCGGCGCGAAGGGGCTGCGTGTTCAGCCTCGTGTCTCAGCGTGTTCAGCTGAGACACGAGGCGACAACCCCCCCGGGAGGCCCGTGGGGGGGCTCCCGGGCGGCGCCGAGAGCACGGGAGACACCCGAAATCCCTCGGGGAAACGAGCGTTCGGACGCGCTCCCCCTTTCCGAACGAAGCCCGTGACTTTTCGGGCTGATGAGCGGAGCGAGCAGCGGGAGGCGAACGAGTGGAAACGGGGCTCCCTCTAACGTCAGCCGCCGCCCCCGCGCCCCCCCGGGACCGTGTCCCCCCCCCCCCCGGGACCGTGTGTCCCCCCCCCGGGGCCGTATCCCCCCCCCCCCCGGGACCGTGTCCCCCCCCCCACCCCCGGCGCTCACCGGCACCTCGGGAGAGCCGGGGGGAGCAGCAGCTCGGCGTCCCGGCGCCGCCGCGGGGACAAAGCCCGGTACCGGCACACAAGGCTTTTCCCCGCAAAGAAATCCTCTCCCTTCCGTCCAACAAGCGCGCGGATGAAATTCAAAATGCGCGCGGATAAAATTCAAAATGCGCACGGAAGCCAGCGGTGCGACTTGCGACCCGAGATAGAAAAAACGTAGTTAAGAAAGGGAACTTTTATTAGGGCAATTTCACTTTATTTTTTTCCATACAGCAAGGTCAACTAGAGCAGTAATAATAAAATAAGCAGAAAAACAAATTGCAGCCCAGGACAGAGTACATAATTTGGAGCAACTACAAGCAAAAAGTAAGTCTGTGATTACATAATAGTAAAACCAAGCACATCTGTCCTTTCAGCAGATGAAAGTTGCGGGGTTGCAAATAAGTGCAACTTCATTAATTATTCAGTGTGAGTACTGGAGAGATCCGATACAGAAATGGCCTAATCGCTTTTTCTTTCCAGCTCTGGCATGTATCCTGACAAGGCTTCTGGAACGCTTTCCATTAAAACGGTAAAACTTCCCAGGGCTTTTTTTTCACCTGCTAAAAGAACAGGACCACTACAGCAATAAAAAATAATCACATAACAACTACGGCTACGGTGTGCTGTTTGGTTTGCCTGTTCATGATTCAACTCTTTTGTGAAAGTCAGTATTTGTTTTGAAGAATCTTTTTTTGTGAACAATAAACCACTGAAATTGTCAGAAACTGGTTTGAATAGCATATATCTTTAATATATTTTTTGATACTTTAAACATGCAGTAGTTTTTGAATAATGTACGGAATATTTGATCCATGATTTCACCTTGATGGTTTGAAGTACCTGCTTTTTTTTCTTTTTTTTTTCCTTTTTTTTTTTTTTTTTTTTTTTTTTTATTATTATTAATGATTTTCAGGCAGATTTGAACCAGTGGAGCTTTTGTCAGTCATGAGATCTTGGAAGGATGGCATATCTTTCCAGCTGAAAAAATCCTGGCAAACTACAAGCTGTCCACATAAAGCAAAGCAACTTTTTTGAAGGGGTATGGAGTGCTAACTCTGTGCCACTTTTGCAAGCAATTTTGTTCAGCCTGTCATTTTATTAGCCTTAACAAAACTCCTTGTAATTATAGACATTTTTATTCAAAATAAGATCTTACTATTATACAGGTTTCTCTCTTTTTTGACTATATACAGAAGTGCAAAAAGTCAACCTTCTCTCTATACGTTCCCACATGCTAAACTGCAGCATAATCAACCCTCAAGAGTTTGCACACACACACTATAATTCTTGTTACGTAAACTTTGAGTATTTGGATTATCAACAAAAAGTCCCTTGATCTATTGATTATGCAGCTTATTTATAACAAGGCCTGATATTCAGGGATTTCAAAAAATATTTAAACAATATTTTAACATTTGAAATGGATACAGTAGAAAATAAATTTTATTCTAATATCTAGGAACTAGATTTTCTCATAATAACTAATTACAAAACAAAATAAATCATCAAAATATTACTCAATTGTCTGCCAGGATTGTTGCGATAGCAACAACTTAACTTCTTACTTAGCAATGATTATATAATTATAAGATATCCATATAAAAGATCTTTGTTCTTTTAATGAAAACTAGACAAGAACTAACAATGACTGACATTCTTACATTGTAATATTAAATCAGTAAAATATAAATCATTTAGTTAACAATAATACGAATACTCATATGACACTACATGTAAATTCAAAACTGAGTATGTTATGAAGAAAACTACTTTTTTTTTTTGTATTTTGAAAATGTCATCAGTAAACTCTAATAAAACAAAATTCTATAAACTGAAATGGTATTCAACTGGTAATAGAAAATGAAAACAATCTAATAAATGTAAGAAACAAAAACTACACTTTTAACAAGAAAAAAAATAAGTAATATTCTCTAATGTTAAGTAACTACAATAACATGTGAAGTCACCTATACTTTCTTAACACGATTGAAATTACATTGGTATGGGTTTTAACCCGTAATGTAATAATCTAAGGCTTTAATAGATGTACAGTACAATCAGTAAAATCAACACATCATTCTTATACTATAAAGCATCTCTCTCAAGCATAAAAACTCGCAGTAAACTTGGAAGTATGGAGAGTTCTACAACCGAACTCGCGCTTCTTCCACTCCACGCTACGCTACCAGTGACCTGGCCCCCACTTCAGCACTTTGCTGAACAGAGCAAAAATATCCTTTACTAGCTGCAACATCCAAACCACAAAAAGGAATTCCTTTGGATGAATCCATTCTTAAAACTTGAATGCACATCTATTTTTTTTTTTTTTGTTTTTATTTTGTAAAGGCTTTCTAAGGCTATAAGCAGTTAATCTGAACAAAAAAATCACATATAAAACTCACCCAAGTATTTAACCCACCCAATTTCTACGCTAATTAAACATGTCCATTTTTCATATTTTGGTTTGTCATGCATCTGATGTCAGTGCTTCTTTCGTCTTTGTTTAGAGTCACCGTGGAAAGCGTGACTTTGATGAAGTGAAACCCATCTCTGCAAAACATTTATAGTCCTTTCGACTTTCGACAGAGGCTATAAATAGAAGCAAAAGAAGTTCCTCAAACTTTTGTTACTGTGTCTCAGAAATGGCTTTTCCCTTTCATATATCATGTTATACAGTAAAATATGCATAAATATTACACTACAATGCCTTAAAATAGTTTATATATATGTCCAGTAAGGGTTAATTTGTACGGCTAGAGTATCTTTCTTGTGCTGTCTACTGTTACTGTAAGGAATGGTTGGCCATTTCTGAGACAGCTTTGGTTTGAAACAGAATGGTGCCCTTTGACTGATTAGTACTAATAAAGTAAGTGAAAACGTGGTTCTGAAAATAACACTGCAGAAATAATACTCTAATCGGATGTACAGTCTATGGCACTTCATGAGAATCCTTAACAACATGGTACTTAAAGCCATTGATGTGCTTTAAAATATACACAGTTGTGGTTTTGCTTGGCACATTCATCTGTCAGATACCTCTCTTACCACTTCTTACAATCTATTACATTAAAAATATTACTCTTAAACAAAAATTACTGTGCATGCACGCTCTCATCTATAATGGCAATTTTAAATACAAGGTGCACCTTTGTTATTTGTAAACCTTGAAAGAAATAAACTTACTTTAAAAAATTATATCTTGGTCTACAGACGTACCAATACATAATAGATTTATGGTTACATCATCGTCTGTCTTTTCAAGGTGACGTACATGGTTATGTAGGAAATAGACTGCGTATGCATATCCAAATCCATATGCATACTTCTGTGCTAGAAAAGATAGACAATGTTGTAGTTTTTAGACAATAAGATCACCTCAGCACAAATATCAATTAAATGTACAAAGTATATAGGCAACAGTGTGCAGTGGATTTCCAAGTTCTTGTTTCATCTCGTTAACATGCAATGTGTGATGTTTTACTGCTGAGGGAGTTTCCGAGTGTTGCTTGACGGTATATACAGTATGGCTAATGAGCTCGTCCTCTTCTCAACCCAAACACACTGTCCTTTTCTCTTTAGTTATGATCTAGAAAGGAAAGAAGGTCAAGCCTTTTCAACACAGTCATAACTTTTTGGTAGCACCACATCAGCCCAAATTTGACATCTGCAACAGAGGAAGAGAAACCTGCCCCCGAGATCTCCCTGGGGTAACGTCCCCGCCGCGCGGTTCACTTCGGGTGCCCGGAGCAGCTGTGGGTGCCCCCTCCCTGGAAGGGTTCCAGGCCAGGTTGGACGGGGCTGGGAGCCCCCTGGGCTGGGGGAAGGGGGCCCTGCCCGGGGCAGGGGGGGGCACTGGGGGGGGGCGGTTTGAGGTCCCTCCCCACCCAAACCGGTCTGTGATTAAGATTCCCTTTGCGCCCCAATTCTGCAGTGACACAAGCGCGCGATACGCCGGCCTCCTGCCCCTCCCGAGGGATCCGAATCTGGGGGGCAGCTCCCCACAAAGCGCTGCGCGAGCGCGGCCCGGCAGCCCCGGCCCCCCTCCCCTCCCAGGCCCGGCTGCCGCGGCCCCAGGCAAACCCGGGAGCCCAACCAGCATTTGAGAGGCACCTCGGCATCCTTGGGGACCTGGGCCCTCTGTTCCCCAGGTCGTTTTTCTTACTTAGCTGCCCACCCAGCGCAGCTGTTCCTCCGGCCTCGGTTGCCCGTCACCCCTAGAGAGCGATTCCAGCCCACGTCGGGACGGCCACCCCGCTCCCGGCTGAGGGCAGGGGAGGCCTGGTACCAAGGTCGGGCTGCAGACGAGGGGCACCCCACCTGGGTCACCCAGGCAGTTTTATGCTCAGCGGAAAGGAATGACCTTTATTATAAACCCGCTGTGGCCAATCAGTTAAGCCTCACCCTAAGTAATAATTCCATGACGGCCGAGCCATTCAATAAAAATCAGAGCAGGAACGGAGCGCAAGGGAGGGAAAGGGCCACAAGCTGTCCTGGGGGAGGTGACGAGGGGCCGTGCGCGGTCTTAACGGCGACGGGCAATTTCGGGGCAGACTGGGAGCTGCAGTTTACTCACGGGAAGGTACAGGGGAAAAAAAAAAAATCTCTCAAGCTTAGGCACACGCGCCCCGGTCTCAAGCCACGCAGGGTGAAAGGCTGCAGCAGGAAAAGCCGAGGGGCACGGTCTGCAACGGGCACCAACGCTCGGCAGCGTGGCCCGTGCCCGTGCGGGGCCTCCCCTGGCCACAGCACCCGGCCGGGGAACACCGGGCACCGCAGCCACAACCCGTGTCCCGGAGGACCCGGGCGTCAGCCAGGCCGACGGCTCAGCCTGGACCTTCAGAGGTGCCGGCTTCCCAAAACTGGAGATGTAGAATTCGCCCTTTCTAAAGACAGTTGAACGTAACCAACTCCCCCCCAGGCCCGGCCCTTGGCTCGCATCACTGCCGGAGCCATCACCCTTTATAAACGAAACGTAAAACTCTGATTTTAGCCTCTCTCATTTTGCTTTCTGGGTATGTACGAACTGATGGTGACATCTGGTCCAACCCGCTAGCCAAGGTGCTCACTGCCAACTACGGGGTCTCCGCTCAGAGAATGGCACGTCAGCGGGGTCCGCGGCCTCCTCCCCCGCACCTTACTAGCTTTCTTGGGGAAAAACATAAAAACATTCTGTCCCTGAAAAATACAAATTACGCACACGCTGGGGTAAGAAAAACGCAAGCAACAACACATTGGGCACTTACTGTTTGATGACAAAATGTCTACATCTGTGTAACATACTTGTGGCTAGTCAGATGTTCGGCAGATATTATGGGTATCTATAGGTAAAAAATTTAAACAATGAATAACACGTGCAATGAGCCAACCCAGAGACACAGCATTTTGCTACAGAACGTAAGTTTGGAAAAGTGAGGATCAGCTGTGAGTTGGTGGATTTTATATTGTAACTATAAGTTAAATTCAACTGAAGTGCTACAATAGCAACTTAAAACTGGAAAACATTGTGTTAAGTACTACTTGGCAAATATAAATAAGTATTATTGGCTGTTTAGGAGATAAGAGAAGTTAAAATCTACCAAAGTCATGCAGTGCAGTAATTGAAAATAGCCCTTTTTGTTGGCCTACACAAAATTCTGTGCTTTCAGCGTATCATTTAATACGATAAATTCTACAGTGGCCGTGTTTCAGTCTGATTTTGTGAAGTGCTCACTGCTTTCCCTGTCTGGGTTTCTGAATGCCAAACCTAAGATGCCCTGAGCCTGATTTTCATGGCTGGTGAGAATCCACTGTCGAAAGAGCTGCCTGCTCCTCCCACGGCCGCTGCGGGCGTGCGGGCAAGCTAAGACTCCCCAGAGCAGCGAAACAATTCTGAAAACGTTCGTCTGCCTGAACAGACCTCAGCACGTGGCTCTCGAAGTGCCCCGTCAACTCGGTGGAAAAAACCCCCAAAGCACGAAGATCCGAGGAGATCAGCAGCAGAACAAGTAACCAACTCCCGTCCCCAGGCCCGGGCGCGCGGGGCAGGGGCTGCAGCCCCCCCGGCGCGAGTCGGGGCCCTGAGGAGAGCCGGCAGCCAGCAGCGGGAGCCACCCTGAGCTCCCCACAGCGCCCCGAGCCCGGCCGGAGGGCGCGCCCGCGCGCTGGGGCATACACAGAACTGCTCTGTGCCATCACAAACGGCTGTTGCACCTGGAAGGGCTCCTTTTCCTGCTGGACGCTAAAGCTGACCTGTTAGTCCGCACGAGAAGGGGCGTGGGGAGGTTCCTCCTTAACTAAACCGTCCGTCTGTCCACCCCTTGCGCCCTCTCCTCCCCTAGCAGCTCCACACAACTCCACAACATTGCCAACTTGTACAGAAATGTGCTTCAAGCGTAATGAAGCTTCTCATACCATTTTTTCCTACTGCTGCAGGACAGGCTGTTGCACCCAACTGTGGAGAAGCGTCAGGGATAGTGCTGTCGGAACAGACCAAGGACCTTCAACACCAGTCAATGAAGATGAAGGGCCAGATCTTAAGACTTTTGGCATGCATGCACATTGCATCGTGTGGCATTAAATATTTTCAGCATTGCTCACATAGTATATACATATATTTGTCATATATGTATATATTGAGGTTCGGCTGCAGTACTGTACTAAGTGTGTTATGAGGCTCCAGGGAGGATATGCATGAAATGATCAGATTCTACAACAGAAAGTTTCCCTGTAATCAATTTGGGAAAGTGCATGGCTACTTAGACAGAGATGATTTCAAAAAACAGTGATGTCTTTCTGTGGCTTGGCTTGTTCTCACAACTCTCTGGCCTTACAGAGGATATAGAGGCACCCTTAAATTGACTGTATGGTGCAGTAAATTACAATATTAAGATACTCTGGGCATACAGGTGGTTGCTTGCTTAGGTGACACATACGCAGAGACCGTCCTACTGATAAACTAGCTTTTCAACAAAGGGATTCTTATGCTAGTTTAAATCCGTGAGTGACACGGTCATTAAGCAAACATCTCTCAAGAGCAGAAAGTGCCACCTGCTAAGCAGAGTAATCCGAGTATTTTTTTTTTTTTTTGGAATTGTAAACTATCCAGGTCCCGAGGCTCGGGACGCACACGCCAGTATGTCACTGCAATAGCACGATTTGGAGAAGAGTATTTCTCTTTGGACGGGGCGCATGGCAGGGCTGCAGAGGCAGAGGGAAGGCTCCAAGGCCGGGGGCTGCGGCGGGGCCAGTGCCACCTCCCCGAGCACTGCACGGCCCGTGCGGCCGGGCACTTTGCGATGGGACACTGACACTGTTTCAGGAGTTAGCTCTAACGGCTCAGGGAGCTGAGTACGTCAGGTGAGCCTGCCTTAAAAACTGACACTTATCTCCAGAATTAATTACACGTACAGAACCACACCTGCAAAAATGCTGAAGAAAACGTTACTTCCCTTTTCTAAAAGGCACGTGTGGGATTCCCCCTGAGCCGAGAGTTATACCTGCGTGTTAGACCACAACTGGTGGTTTCACGGCACAGGCAATTCGAACCTCCCGGTAAATCTCAAAAAATAATTTGTTTTTGGAAGAGGAACGAGAGGGTGTTTAAAGAGTGTTTATCATTGCACTTTCAGCCCGATGTACTACAGAAATGTGCATTTTTGAGCCCCCAGCTAGGTAACGACAAGCCACGTTCTGTTCTGAGGTGCAGGTCCGGCTGGTCCGTGTGGGGACTGCAGCTCCTCTGGCCCCTGGCACGCACCTTCAGAGCATCGCTTCTGCCTTCTCTGGAGGACTTCCAATCACTTCTTAGTAAAGCATTATTCTGTTATTCCTGACATGCACCCCAAACATGGCAACAACCGGGGCAGCTATTTAGAAATAAATCTGGGCTCTAATGGACACTGTCTTAACTGAAGTCTGTCTACTACAACAAGCAATCGGCCGCTTCGAAGCAGAATCCCAAGCCGAAACAAAGGTTAAAAGAAGCTTCTGTGTGGCCCATGCTCAAATGTTTTTGGCTTGCTCTTGGAAGAGGAGAGTCAGAACATGTTCAGACTGCTAAATTCAGGCTTAAGATTGTGACCCTGCAACCTCTCTGCACAAAGGTTTTACTGGCTTTCACTGGAGTTCTGCACTACAAGGAACTGTCAGCTTCACAGAAATAGAAATAAATAATGGGTTCCGTGTATTATCCCTTTCTCTATACATGTCTGAGAGCCGAAGTAAGCAGCATGGCCCGTAAATGTTAAGACTGAGTCAGAAACTCTATTATCGATTATTTTTAGCATCAGAAATGGAACTGCAGCACCTTTTGAGCATGGATAAAAAGCCTTATTAAGCTGTGCTGCAGATCTTAGAGAGAATGTGTAGGCCAACAAGAGGTAGAATCCAAACCCCCATGCTCATTAAAAGCACCAATTTCAAGTTGTCTGTAAGGAACAAAGCTGTAAATTAGCAAACCTGGTTGGCTGTGGCTGTTGCAGCGAAGGGAACACTTGTGGCAGATGTTGTTGCTGCAGACACAGTGGCTGGCGTAGCACCGTGCACCATGGGAACTTTCGGAAGGAAAATCATATAAGCAAACATACAGAAGAGTGTAGCAGTATGGGAACCAGAGCGACATGTGGTAGGATAATTGAGCATGGTATTTATCACAGCAAAAAGCCCGAGACATCATTGCCAGCGCGTGACATGCAATCACAGTGCAAAGCAGGACAACATTCCAGGGAGAAAGAGGGGAGGGAAATGAAAGAGAAAAAAAGGGGAAAATGCTTGTTACCATCAAATCAAGAAAATCGACACAAACAAGCTTAACCATTTCAATACAAAAATCAACAGAAGAGTTTTTAAATGCCTTTATATTTACAAATTGTTGTCTTTTAAAAAGTCAACCCAAATATTTACTGCAAACAAAAATTAATCTCGTTGAAGGACAGTATACGTCTATGTGGCTATAGTAAGATACAGTCTTTATTTAACACAAGATAGTTTCTAAACACTGGAACTCATAGTCCAATCAAAATCCACCAAGGAACAATGTGCAATTCAAAAAATTGCTCTACAAAATTAACAACGTCTACGTGTCCATGTCAATTAAATAAAACAATTGCATTTAATTGACAGGTGTTAGTGCAGGAGGCTAAGGGAGATGGATTGGCACGAGAGCTCTAAGTTAAAATCTAGCAGTGGATTTTGAGGGTCCGTGAGCTGCACCACAGGTTTAAGATAATCAAGAAACAAAGCTGGCACCTACCAACACTTGTAGCGGGTGTCATGCACAATATTGAGCCTGCCCATCATGCATTGCAACAGGAAGGTGGATTTGGAAAGGGAAAAGAATTAAAACAACCCATCACACGTGTAATTAGAAATTTCATTTGAACAAAGAAGAAAAATTGTTATTATGGGAACAGTGGCATGTAACTGTCAGCACAATCAAACCATACAATAGCACAGTGATCCCTCAGAACTAGCGCTCAGGGAAGGGGAGAGAGCTGACCGAGCTGTGCGCCGGTGTACCGCCTCTGCCTTTCTAGCACCGTGGGATATTAGCACGGCTAGGAAAAGTCCCTGGAGCTTTCTTTTGACACTCTTTTAAGCCTTAAATCTTTTTGCCTTTTGACTCCTCTCCTCCCGCCTCGCAGCCTCGTCAGCCAGGGCCCTTGGCAGGGGCGCCGATTCCTCGCAGAGCGATGGATGACCTGACCCAGGCCGCGTCCTCAGCCGCAGCCCGACGGCTCCGATGCTCCGGCAACAGCCCGGCCAGGCCCGGGGGAATCTGGCACGCGGTGCTTGTGCCGTATCGGGGGGATCTGGCACCCGGTGCCTGTGTCACACCGTCTGCACGGCCCCTGGGAGCTGCCGGTGAAGCGGGAGCGCTCCCGGCTGCCCCGCGGTCTGTTTGCTGAGCACGCGGCCCAGCGCCGGGGCTGAGCCGCCAAGGGCTCCCCAGCAGCTCACGGCAGCACCTGCCAACGCTTGTTCAGCACTTTCTGCTACATTATGGGACGTATTTTGATCTGGTGGTGTCTGGGCGCACAACCTGCAACTGCCTTTAGGCTACACAAAAATAGCTGAAGCGACAGCAACCTGGGAATTCTGCCCTGCAACTAGAGAGCCGGCAGCAGGATGGTGTTTTTAGGAACATTATGGTATCATTTTTTAAATATCACTAAGTTTACTTTACATAGCAAAATGCCTTTCATCATATTGAACTCAGAATATTCTGGTTTTGCTTCCAATATGATAGATAAATACGTCCTGGTATTTCAGAATATCCATTTTTAATAAACGATTTACTTTTTCATTTAACAAATAGCTCTTATTAACACCGCTAATTATGCCTGACACAGCAGAAACTGAAATAAACTCTGAAATCTGGGAACAGAGATTGCAGTGGAAATGGAAACGTCTTCTAGAAGCCTGCCGGTGGGAGCCACAGCACTGCTGCTTCCTTGACACTGCGTGACCGTAACGGGGGGACAGGAAAGTGTTTTAGCCGGTGCCAAGCATTGTACTGGCTTGCACAATCTCAAGAGCATTTAACTAAGCAGGCAAAAAGTCAGTCAGTGTATTTACTGCTGGGGTCAAGGTTATTCTCTGTCATCACTGTATCTGTAACGCTACAAAGAAAAGGCCATAATCATGTTTCCTAATTACTCTTCTATTTCTGTGTCAAGGAAGAGACTGAAAATATTCGCAAAGAAAGGTTAAAAGAAGGGTAGTTTTCTGACTTCCCCATGTACAAATCATGGCTGAAGTCAACGGGACCACTTCCAAGATTAAAAAACGGAGCAAAGTTTGGGTATGAAGTACAAACAGCAAGTACAACTGCTTTCTCGGCCCCTCTTATGGCATCTCTGTGGTGCTAATGGTGTTACAGAGAAGAACCTTTGAGTTCTGTCTCTGTGCAGAAGTGCACTATTTGTAAGGGTGCACATACTTCATCAGATTGGGAATAGAGTGTCGTTCCATGCATAATTATGTCTACATGCTAAAGACGAGTTAGATATTCGTAATGACTCTAAAATATCACTGTAAAGCTCTTCAGCTCAAAATTTTAGTCTGAGTTACCATCATTAACATTATAACCGGTGCACAGAGTTTTGAAAGGGAACTGAAGCAAATGAACATAAGGCAGAAATGAAAATACTAGTTAGGGTGCAATAACTTGCAAATAGGAAGACATAATGCTGTATGACCCTCTTACCAGTAATAAAAATCTTTTTTGCTATGACCTTAATATTCATCTTGACTTCAGAAGCTTTGACTGACTAATGAGAATGCATGAATAATAAATGTGCAGTTTCAAATGTTCCCTAGTTTTTCAGCACAAGGCAGAATTTTAATTCAAGGATGTGCTCAGTTAACTGATCATAACTTCACAACCAGATTATTTCTGCAGTGGAATAAAGCTATTTTTGTAATAAACAGTCTAGGTTTACTGGTGTTTTAGGCATTTTTTTTTTTCTCATCTCTCCCTTGTATTATTCCCTCGGTCTATTTATTCTGTCCAACCTACTAAATCCTAATTAAAAATATCACCACAGACAGCACAAGCACCCCTGTCGAGGTGAACAGCTGTGCCTGATCTTTCCCTCCCTAACATTTTGGAGGAGAGCAGTGTTTTCAGGCAGCCCCAGAAGCCCCGGGGAGGAAGGTGCTCACAGAGGCACCGCTTCAGGGAAGCATCTCTGCGCTGCGTCCCCACGATGAGCGAGCAAGTTCTCTGCTGTTGAAGCGCCAGTAACTAAATAAACAGGCGACGTGTTAGCTTAAGGGCAGAGGTGGCTGAAGCCTTTCCGCGGCGGGCTCTGTGGTTCTGCTGCCCTGCTGCAGTTCTGCCCCTCGCAGGTGCTTCGGGACAAGAGCTCCTGGGGGTATCCCGTAAGCCTGCCCCCTTTCCTCGGGAGGATTACGCTCCTCAAAGGCTGGCTGCTCGACAGGCCAGGAGCAGCTGTACCCGCACGACTGAGGCAGCGAGCTGCGGCGCAGGATGGTCTCCAGCACCGGGGCAGGAATCTCACCCAGTTGCACGTAGGAGCTCTCTACCTGCACGTACAGACATAGCCCCAGCCAGCTCACAGGTACCGCGGGACAAGGAGCGTGTGCAGAAGTGGTGAACGCCGAGTCACCGGTGCTCTGCAAGTTCACAGCCCCACAGCACGTCTGCTGCAGCGCCAGGAGTCGGCAGCCAGGACCAAAGTACCAAACCGAGCCGTGAACAGCGATTAAGTCGTGCAGAGTCTCCTCATTCGTCAGACTAAGTCCACTTATTTCAACTAGCCAACACCACAAGGGTTCCCAGTTCTTTCTGGCAACGCCTTTTAGACTCCCCTCTCAGTCTGGGGACAGCTTCCAGCAGCCAAGGTTTTTGGGAGGCCTCAGGGGTGGGGCAGAGAGGGAGCTTTATTTCAGAGCGGTGGGATGAGTATCTCGGAGCGTTTAATCAGTTAAAGTGTGCTGGAGTGCCAGTGTCCATCCCCTGGCATGCACGATCCCTTCGTTGGCTTCCCCGTGCCCTGGCATACAAGCAGCCTGAATTACGCCTTACAATTCAGAAGGGGGATCTGGGTTTGTCTGGAACACGAGCGGAGAACTCCCCAGGGTGGAACATCAAGAGCGGAGTGCCCCGCAGCGAGGAGGGGCCTGCCGAGATCCTCCTCAGGGGGACACACCGACACCGCGTCGGCTCTGCGAGTGCCCTGCCCTCCAGCCCTGCCGCATTCTCACACACTGCAGCTGCAGCAACTGAGAACACATGCGAGTCGTTCCAGTTTGGGTGCCTGAACCTGAAAAATGTCACTTTAATTCAGGTGCCGCTGAATTAACCTGCCTCTGCTCCACGGCAGTGGAGCCGAGGGCACCCACGCTCTGTGCTCTCCCGTCGGCCCTTAGGGACTGACGGAGGAACTCTAGCTCCAGACGAATACGCACAAACGGGACCGATGCTAGGTAATCCTACGTGGGGAAAACTAAACAGGGCAAGGTGGCAAATAAAACTTTTGGAAAAGTACTGGATTACTGGAAAGCTCCAACTGCTGCTATCTGATAAATATAAAAGAGAATCTAGTAGCTCACGCTAAAAAATCCTGTGCTTTTCTTGTTTAACATACACTAAACTTCAGTGGGCAAGAAAGGTCAAATGAAGCATCGAGAGCCACTGTGCAAACTCCTGTGGGTCTCAGTACAGGTTTGCTAGGGGAAGAGCTGAGGTTGGTTGTGTGCAAGTGCCGACGAGAAAGCTCCTGGCCATCGATGCAGTGAAATGAGGTCCGGCGTGCAAGAGCCACGGCCCCCGCTTCTAAGTTCAGAGGGCGTGATTCAAAGCAGCTCGAGTTCTTCCAGAAATCATCCAGCTCCTCTCTGATTTAATGGAAGCTGGAAAATTGCATGGCTTACTAACTATACCAGTTATGCTTTGCCAAAACAGAACTGTGAAACTTTAATATCTACAGGAGTGACTGTGACTGCATAAGCATTTTTATCCCAATTTTCCTATGTGGGCTAGGGATCTGATCTAAAGCTTACTCAGTCAGTCTGTCTATTGACTCCAACAAGCTCTTACTAATATATTTCAGTGGTTGCAATGCATTTTTTAGAACCTAAATAAGTTATTAAAATGTACTACATCAAGCAACTGATTTTTGTGCCATTTAAATTATACATCTTGGTTGCATGCCAGGTCGAGAAAGAATGGTAAAAGGCGTTATACCGAATTCCTGGGAACATACTTGCCAAAAATGCTTAGGACAAAATCCTTACATCTTTTTGGTAAAGACTGAATAGCTGTATTTTCTTTTCTCCCCTCAACTAATCTGCATTACGACGAGCTGTCCTCACAGGCTCCTTCCAATCTTTTGAGTACAGATCTATCAGACGCCCTCTGCATACCCCCTAGAACGACAGCGCTGTTTTAATGCGGGTTCGTATGTGAAAAACTAACTCTGCCGTGTTCATATGGTGTACTAGATGCAGAATTTTTCATGAAGTACTGTTTGCAGAACCTAAACGTATATTCCAACTTTAAGTCCCATCCCTTGTCCTCTGAAGGGATTTCTGCTTATATAAATAGTACAGGCATCCATTCTCCAGCAATTAGACTAGGACGAGCGTAGATGTGATCACTGCTGAAGAGGAACGAGTGCACCTTGGTTCTGCTTAGTCCAAAATCAGCCCCGAGGCTTCAGAGGCAGGGGCTTGAGCCCGGATTTCTTGTGCAGGTTCATGGTTAGCCTATCTGCGAGACTGCCTGCCCGTGCCTTGTACGATCACTGCACCAGAATCAAAACCAAAACCTTCAAGTGCATGAGTCGGAACAACTGCTGCTAAGCACATGAAGGCAAAGGGGTCTTACAGCAAAGAGAAACAAATACAGCAGCGTAAGAGATGTGTAACAAAGAGAAGTTAATCGAGGGGAAGAGAGAGAAGATTTCAAATTCTGATTTGGGAGGACAGAGCATGACGCTGATTTTTATATTAGACTGGAAGACACCCACCCGAGAGCAGCAGAGAGAAGCCAGCCCTCCTGCAGCCGGCTCCTCCGGCCGCCGCGCAAATCCCTCTGCGCCTTTCCCGCCAGGGACAAACCGTTACGTCCTAGTGCGTTTTGTCCAGAATTCCCCCTTCTCCCTCCCCAGGAAAAAGCAAACGAGAAGCACTTACCTGGTGGGAGAAAGGCTGTATGCTGCTGTAACTGCATGTTGGCAAGAGCTTGCTGGTACTGGAAAATACCAGTGTTAAAGACTGCAGTGGCACCATTGGTTTTTTCAAGCGCAGGCCTCTTTGGTAATGGGGGAAGTACAGCTTGAGGAATTCCCTGAATGGTGGATGGGTATAAAAATAAAGTCCAGTAAAAAAAAGAAAAAAAAAAACAAAACGGGGGGTTGGGGTAGGGTGTGGGGTGTGGAGGAGGGTGGGAGGGAGAGGGAAGAAAAGGAAAGAGAGAAAGGAAAAAAGAAAAATCAGTAGAAGGCAAAAAAACCAGGCAGCACCATGTTTATCCATGAGCAAGCAAGCAGCATAGCAGACTTAACTACCAAATAAAAGGCGAGGTAAAAGCTTTACGAGGGAGCACTACTTTAGCCTGCCATTACAGCGGCACAGGTAACGTGTCGGAGCCGTACGTTATAGGAACCGGCGGAACTATTACGCTACTGTAAAGCTTCAGGGTTTCGATCAGGAGCGAGGCTCTCGGGGTAGGGGGAAGCAGCACTGCTAGCTCCATGAGGATCAACACGTAGAAGCAATGTTAATAGTCACCGTCCGGGGCGGATGGCGGGGCCGCTGGCGCCAACCCACTCCCCTGCCCGGGCATGCAGAGCGCGCCGCATGCCGGCACCCCCGGGCCGCCTCCGCACCACGAAGCCATGCCAACGCACCCTGCGCCCGCCGCCGGGCCCTCGGGGAGGGGACGGGGAGGGGGGCACGGGGGGGTACGGGAGGGGAGGGGGCCGGCGGGGCACGGGGGCGGCGGGGTCCTGCTCTCTGGAGCCCAGCCCGGTCCGGCCGCCCCCGCGCCCCGCACCGGGATGGGGGGGTGCGGGGAGAGGGGGGGGGGGGGAACCGGGATGTTCCAATTCTACACATTAACCCCAAACTCGACTCTACGATACAGCTACATGCCAAGCTAAAAGGTGAAAGGTCATAGTACCAGGTCAAAGGTTGCCTCGAGGGGTCGCTTCAGTGATTTGACAGCCGACTGAGTCTTAATTAGCAGGCAGCGAGCACATGATGGCAATGGCCAGTGGGGTCAAGCGCATTAACATAAACAGCAAGCAGAGGTGCATCATGGGGGCAGCAGTGCATTTGGGTAGGTGAGAAAAAACAAATAAAAACAAATCACCGGATGCCGTGTACAACGGTAACAAGACTAGGCATGCACGGGGGGCGGAGGGGGGGGGGACACACGTCGGTGGGCGCGGGGCGCTCCCGGCCAACGCGGGGAGCGGAATCGGGGCTCCCCGTGAGCGGGCACCGGCTCCCCGCCCCGCCCCGGCCGGCCGGGAGCCCGCGGGGCTCGGCGGGGAGGGCGGTGGGCCACCACAGCCCCCTCCTCGCCAGGACACCGGGCCCCCGCTCCAGAGCTTGGCCGCCGCCGCGACGAGGGTTGGTCGGGCGCCCGCCAGAGCTGCCGCCAGCCCTCGGCGGGGGGACGGGGGGGACGGGGGGGGGCTACGAGTGGCGTGAACGCAGGGAGGTCGGCTTCACGCTAAGTCTCTACACACACAGACTTAACGGTAACTGGAGTATGGGTTTATCTATCCGTGCAGCTAGATAGATACACATCTACCCACACACGAACACACAATAAACTATATATACATATATGCACGCACACGTACAGACACGCACAGAGGTATGCACACATATATGTACATATAGATACTCTGTACATCAGCAGGCAGAATTAGTGGAACACCTTAACGGTCTGAAAGTACTTAAGAGCAGATCTGGCACTGCATGCCGAGGAAGCTCCCTGCACCGTGTCGTGACTGGGGTCCCCGAGCACACGCACCCCCCCTCCAGCAAGAACAGCTACCACATCGACTATCGCCTCTCGACAGCTTCTTTCTATTCCAGAGGCGTTTTCCGAACTCACCATGGCAGCTGCAGTCGCTGCTGCCTGGGCAGCTGCAGCTTGGTTAACCTGGTACTGGGCAGCCTTGATCTTGGCTTGCAGGTGTGCAGGAGGGTGAAAATATTTGCACTTTTCCCGTGAGCATCTCCCTTTGATGTAATCCATGCAGACAGTGACCGTGTTGTCGTTGGTGTCGACCATGGCGCTGTCGGCGGGGTGAGCGAACCGGCAGTCGTTCTCTCCCCTGTTGCAGTTGCCACGCTGGTACTCTCGACATACCTGCGACACCGGGAAGAGAAAGTCGCTGAGGTTGGGTGACAGGGGCTGGGGGGCACGGCTCGGAGCGGAGCTGGGATTTCTGGAGGTCTGTGAGAGCGCTGCGAGGACGGGGGCCCGGCCCCAGGCGTGGGGGGACGGCGGGCTCAGCTCCCTGGCACCTGGGACCGGGCTCCTCTTGAGCCACTCCTGATGTCAGACTGCCTCAAAACCCACCGGGATTTAGAGCTGAGCACGCAGCAGGTTTTTTGGCTCCCGCTTAGCCACCCTCAGGGCTTTTCCCGTTCTCTGAAGAAACGTGCTGTGGCTAGCTCCCCCGGATCACCCCAAGCAGCGGGGTGCTGCGACGCGGGTCGCGCTGCGCTGCGCTCTGGCTCTGCCCGAGTTCGCGATGCTCGAGGCACTGACTCGGGTGCCTGGCCACGAGTGCGGGGAGGCCGGAGGGGCTGGCAGGGTGAGGGCCGGCACCTCACCCCACCGGCCGGGCAGCGAGCCGCACCCACGGGGGAGCTGCACCCACGGGGCGTGCGGCACCGCTCCGGCCCCCACGCTCCAGGCGTCTGCCGCGAGAGGGCAATGCAAACCCCTGCCTGCCCCGGGTCACCCCGCCGATCGATCGGCGGCAGCCAGGGCGGTCCCCACTGTCCCGCCACGCCACAGCAGCCAAAGCGAGCTGAGGGAACCAGAAATTGCACAAAGGATGCTGCTGGGCTGGGGGGTCCCCCCCGGCGGCACCCCCGGTGCCGGTGCGTGGGCTGCAGCCCGGCCCCGCGCCGCCGCAGGGGCCTCCAGCCACCCCCCGCCCTGCAGGCACTGGCTTCATCACCGGCTCCCTCCTCACCCCCCCGCGCAAACCCCCCAGTTCAAGAAAGCGACGCGCGTGCTTTTTTCACGGTCGGCTCTTCACAAACCGCAAACAAAAATGGTGTTTGCCATTTTAGCTTCCCAAAGGCTACAGGAAACAGAAAGGGACAAAAGCAACCAAGATTGTATAAAAATAAAACCACTTTAGTAGATGGAATTTCCTTTTAAAGGTGGGTGCCCATGAGCTTGGATCATCAGTATTTCCTCAAGGACCTTGGCTCTGATCCCTGCAGCAAACCAAATTTGGTTGTTATTTGGTCTCCATCCATGCTAGTGCTCTAGCTGCTTTTTAACCCCTGTGCTGCTCCAAGTACCACCTGCCCATCATCTAACTTATGAAATGACATCCCCGAAGGACAAGAGCAATGCCATTCGTGAACCTGCTCACAGGAGGCATCCGTTTGCCCAGGGTCATTCCAGCGTGACCCTGTTTATAGTCTTTTTCCATGGGGTGACAAGACTCGGGGTGGGTATTTGCAGAGGAGCCACGTGAGCCAGTTCAGGCACCTCCGCTGCTCTCGTTCGTCCCCGTGGCCCTACTGCTCGCGGCTCGGTGCCTGCAGAGCTGTTCCTGCACCACACGTGAAACAGGCTGGGCAAACTCCTCAGCTGGAAAATAGCCACTTGCCTTCCAGGTCAATTCTGCAGCCGGATCCCTTCCCTGGTCTAGTCCCCATGCAGCAACATAGAATCACAGTCTGGTTTAGGTGGGAAGGGCCCTCAAACCTCCCCCCCAGTGCCCCCCCTGCCCTGGGCAGGGCCCCCTTCCCCCAGCCCAGGGGGCTCCCAGCCCCGTCCAACCTGGCCTGGAACCCTTCCAGGGAGGGGGCACCCACAGCTGCTCTGGGCACCCGGGCCAGCGCCTCCCCCCCTGCACAGGGAAGGATTTCTGCCTTAGATCTAGTCTAAACCTCCCCTCTTTCCGTTTACCATTACTCCTCATCCTATCCCACCAACCCACTTTACCAGCCAGCAGGACACAGGGAGCGACGGGGGAAGGAGCTGGCGCCTGTTTGAGCCACCAAACCAGCCCAGTCTTCTTCTGGTCCCTGTCGCGTGCCGGCACCGTCCCTGCCCGCCCGAGGCCCCTGCCCCGACCCCCCCGCTCCGGCACACGCCGGGCAGAGCTGGCACGGCACCGCTGCTCCAAGAGCCCCACCGCCCGCTCACCGCTGCTCCCGCCGCCCGCCAACACCCTCGGCGTCACGAACCGGCACCTTCTACCGAACACAAGCCTCCCGGACAGGCAGAAGTTGAACAGTTCCTTCGATTGTTTGTTTGCAGTCTAGAAGTCAACCGAAGTCTTTTCCTCTGAAGGAGGATGCAACTAACATCAGCCGACTGTCCGCCTTGTATTGGTGATCCACAAAACCAAGGTCTCAAAATCACTCTACACGTAAGCAAGAACTACTCCATTAATAACACAGAGATGATATATGAAAATCCATATTTAAGTGTGTGCGTGCGTGTGTATATATATATAAAGGTAACTATAATACAGAGAGAGAGAGAAAGAAAATGCATCCACGGATAAGCTAACTTTATCACAGTGAAAAACCAAAGCAGAATGACCAGAAAACTGAAATAGTTAGGCAGACAGAGATAATCTTTGGCATGTCCAGAGCAAATTTTCACAGAGCTGCCATGCAGTAGCTGAGATAAGGCAATGAATGGCTCTCAGTGCTCCTTAACAGATCGCTGACTGATGGCTTACAGCAGTCAGACACAAACCATAATGCTGCTAGCCCTTTTAATCAGTGTGACCAGCAATGGCTTTTCAACCACTGTGATGGTAACCAAGAATGTTTCCAATTCTTGCTTGTTTAAAAGCAAGCATTGAAAATGGTGTTATTTTTTTGCCAGGGGCACGCAGCACTGTATCATTCCTCTGCTTGAGTAAAGTGAGACACAGAAGCATGATATGTTGTCTGGTCTTCCAGATCTGGAGAGCTGTTATTTAGTTATTTATTAATAGCCCTGTAATTAGTAACATAATTTTCAACTCGGCATGTTAGGAAACATAAACAAGAGAGGCACCTGTACGTCTCTAGCCTGTCTGCAAAAGTGCTGTTAGTGCTGCAGTATTACCGATTCACTGCAGTTCACTTAACTTGTTCTAACTTTGGGCTGAGTTTGTTTGGATGGCCCTGCCGGGATTCCAGCTGCCCACCCTGGGGGGACACAACGGCCGTGCCACCCCGGGAGCGGCAGCGGTCCCACGCCGCTCACCCAAAGCCGGGGCCGAGGTTTGGCCGGAGGGACACGGGCAGCAGAGCCGAGATCCCTGAGCGAGCCACCTGCCGGCCTCCTCCTCTGCGTTGAGGAGAATTTATCAAAACGGGCCAACTGTTCTCCAGTGCGTTCTGAACATTTAAACCAACGGCACCACCAGGCCAGATCTCCTGATTACCCAAGATGTGAAAATCTCCAAGAACTTCTAAGCTGCTTCTTTCTGGCAAAAAACAGTATATATGAAACAAGCAGGAAACAGCCGCTTGGTTGTGGTCATTCCTGGCTCTTGAACACTTCTAACAGAAAACGATGGCCTTCAAACGAAAACACATCCCTTTTACATAAAGCGGTTAGGCAATTCCTTTCTCTCTCACTTCCCTACCCTTCTCACTTCTGGTTCACTGGAAGAGCCATTCAAGATACCTCTGGCAGGAGAGGAGCGTGAGGAAAGCTGTAGGAAAAGCCTCAACCCATGCCATTTTTGACCCCCAGATCCAGATTTCTTATGGGAGCGACTGAGCACACTGGACAGCCAAACATCTGCGTGCTCTCTGTACAGGCGACACAGGCCAAAGGCGTATGAAATCAATCCTACTGCTAGTAACTGTCACTGACCTTATCTTACAAATATTCGTATTAATTCAGGAGACCAGGCACACTGCCTGACAGATCTGTGGCGTTTGCCTGCTTTCCTTAAAATCCCAGGTATAGGTATTGAGAGCTTTCAGCTGTGGAACGGTCTGACTCAGTATCCCAGAACACGTGTGCTAACTTAATTAATGCCAGGGTACATCGTTCTTGAAAGTAAGTATTTAAAATTCTAAGCAGAACAAATCATATTCCAAGATTAGATGCTAACATCACAGTGGTTATTTTTCTCAAGGACACTTCATTCCAAGGGAGCGTGAGCTAAGCCTTATAAAGCTCTTTCATCATGTCATAACAAACGACGATACCGACAGCAATACGCTCACTTAAAAGAGCAGGTTAGACCATACTGCCTTCTCTGAGACGTAACAACCAGACCACGCAAAATCTTTCAAATCAGCTCTGCATTTCTGTAATCTATAAAGTACATTCAAATGTTTTGGTGTTCAGAAAAATTACGTACTTATTTGGTATTTGTATTCTAAATTTGGATACTCCAGATTAAATGACCAATATGCTGGAAAGCACTAGCAAATTATCTTCTCACCTACGTGTTTTACGATTTAAACAGCATTTGCTGAAAGGAAAAAAGGAGGAGGAAAAGACAGCCCTTTCCCCAACAGATACTAATTTTGTAAGACAGCAGCGTGGTGTGAAATTGCAGTCAGTGGGTCAACCCGGATGTGCTCCTGATCCCTGTCAAAATAAAAAGCAAAACATAAACATCTTAAAGGGTAGAAGAAGCTGGATTTCTCTGAAGTGATCTACATGGTACAAGGGCGGGAGCAGAGCGGAGGGAAGGGCCCTGTTAGGAAGGCAGGGCTGGGACAGCCCTCCTCTGAGGCCAAGGACACGGCCTGGGAGCCGAGCCCACTGAGATAAAGGCAATTCCAGCAGAAAGGTGCTGGGTGCTGACGAGCTGGGACGTTTGTCACCTGGAGAATACGGCTGAGGAGGAAGCGCCCTGCTCCGGCCGGGAGCTGAGCCCCGGGGAGGGCTGGGGCTGCCCCCGGGATCCTGCTCCCAGGGGAACCCCCGCGCCGTGCCGCTCCGCTGTGGACGGGGACGGGAGAGGCACCCCTCCAAGGCCCAGCACTTATTTTCAGGGGTTTCCAACTCAGCCAACATCCTCCTTTCCATAAGCTCAAAGCACAACCACTCAGCCTTTTTCCCAAATGTTACCGATTTCAGATGTTTTTGCCGGCTTTTCCTAACTGATAAAAATGGTTTTTACTGCAGACTGTGCCCCTGGGTGTTCTGTGAGAGTAACACTCTCACAACTCCCTCTCGCGCAGAGGAGTTTGGCTCAGCAGTGTATCACTTCTCTAAATAGCCATATAAAGGGAATGCAAGCGCCTGGAGGACCAAATCCTGCACGCTGAAGTCCCAAACCTCATGAGCTCCCCCGCGCACCTCGGTCCCTGTCTGCCGGCCAGCACAAGCTCTGTCCCGAGGCACCACCCGGAGAGGCAGAGCCGGTGCTCGGGGATTTCGGGTACGTCCTGCTCCTGCTTACCAAGAGGAAGCTGCCGAGCCCACGGCCCCAGCCCCACGGCCCAGCGCCAGGGCCTCCACACGGGTGGAAACACAGTCAGACACAGCAGGCGACCTCGGCGCTGCTCCCCGCCATCAGCATCCTCCTCTCCGTACTCGTTTCCGAATCTAGCGTGACTTATTTATGAATTTCTCTGACTGCATTTTGATTTTAATCCGCCTCTGGCAGGCATCACATAAAATAAGAGTCCTCAGAGGAAAAGCATCCCTTGGTGATTCCAAACAGCCACCCCTGCGCCAGCTCTCGGCTCGATGTGGCTGCCTCTCCTGTAACCTGACCGTGCTTTGGGGAACGCTTTCCTCGGAGAAAACATGTCTAAAAAGGGAAGTGATGCGATCCCGCAGAAGGGGAACCTGTGGTGACGTGAGCTCTGAGAATAGTGACAGCGGCAGCGGGAAGCGCTCGCTGACAGATGACCGTCCGCACTCCCACCTCGCAGCCTTCCGAGGGGCAGCTTACCAGTCAGAGATGCAACCGAGAAAAAAGAACTGATTTTCATTCTAAGGAGAATCAATCCTTGTTAATGCAGGTGCAGGGGCGCAAAGAAAAGCATTACAATTCCAGCTGGCTGCGTTTTAAGACAGAGTCCTTCTCGCTCCTCCCATGGTGCTCCCGGAGCCCAAGGGCAGAACAGCCCCTCCACCCCCCAGCTCCCCTCGCTGGGCAGAGCTGGTCCCCGGGGATCCCCGAGACCCCACGGGGACTGCAGAGCCGCGGCTGCCGGGCCGGCTCACGGCTCACGGCTCGGCTCTCCCCCTCGCCCCAGCGCCCACCTCCCGCGTGCCCAGGAGGCGACCGCCCCGCCGGCTCAGCCTCTCCCCTCGCCGCCTTCCGACCCGCAGACCCGAGCCGATAAGGTGCCGAAAACCCTGTCAGGCCTTTCAGATAAGAAAGGTTCAGGGCGAGGGAGCGCACCAGCTCGAGAGCGCCAGCGCTTGTCAGGGTTGCAGCGGGGACGATAAGCCGGGCGCGGGAGTGCGGCACCATCTGGCCGGGGGCCGAGGGCCACCTCCTCCCCAGGCAGCTGAAGCCCGCGGTGCCGGTGCCCCTGCCCACGCCCCCCCAGTTAACACCTTCTGGGCACGCACCGACCCAGTTTTGAGGTGCTGTTGCTGCTGCCGCGGTTGTTCCTGAAAGGGCTCGGTATTTCCATTTCTTCTGCAGCCGAGGGTCAGCAGCAGCACCACAAGCATTAACTTACTGTGTGATCACTCAGCCACACTGTCCTTGCCGATCACCGAGATACGACATCATCAGCTGAACTGAAACCTGCATTAATTTTCTTTCTCAAGAAAAATATTTCTGTCTCGGGGACATGATAAATGATGCAACTCACGAGGCTAAGTCACACGTATCGGCTCCTACCTCCAGCCTGTCTGTCCTCATGAGCTTCTGGGCGGCGGCGGCGGCGGCGGCAGGAACCGGGACACCGGGGTTCCCTGTCACCAGCATCGGGGCGGTGGGCAGGATCTCCGCCGGGACCAGGCCTGGGGAGACGGGCCCCAGGTAGGGGTTGAAGGCGGCTGATGCGTTGGTGGCTAAGCTCGGTGCGACGGAAAACATCGGCTGCAGGCAGAGAAAAGAAGAAAAAAAAGACACTTTAAATATTTATACTCGCCATGCCATCAGCATAATAACTTTTTGGCCATCATCTTGAGCACGACAGCAGTGAGTTTCTGTTACTGATGGGAAGGAAGCATTTGTCGTGTGCGGAACATGAAGAACGCATTGTAACCGAGCGCTCCTCACGGCCACGGCAGAAAGTCCAAGGCTCTCGGAGGGACACGACCAAACGGTGTCCGAACACCCGCGCCCGGGGAAAGAGGCATCTGCACGAGAGCATCAATCCACACTCAACTTCAGACACAGGTGAACACCTTCCTACCCCGATGACTGCTAGCACTGGTTCAGAAACTACAGAGCATTAATACAGGAACAAGACGAGACGACCGTAATCATTTATATTTTTGCAAAATTAAACAGGCTGTCCATGCAGATATCCTGAAAGAAATATCAAGGGTGTGCATTGTTTAGATTAAAACATTAAGCCAGAGAAAGAGAGAGTGAGCATGCAAATACTGGGGTTTTTGTTTGTTTGCTTATTTTAAAAGAAGAAAGAGTCAGATGCCCTTGTAGGCTATCGCATGTTGTGAAGATAATTGGATGTAGCAGACCAAATAATGCTGTAGATAGACCAAATGTGGAGCTGTTACACTGCAGTAAAGAATAACTCTTCTGCCCCACTGAATGCAAAGGCACTGCGCTACCAGTGTAACTGCCAAATAAAATAGTCTGGGTGTTTATCTTTAGTACCTAAATAGTTACTCAAGGCATTTAGATTATTCTTCCAAACTACTTTTTAGAGGGAAAATCAACTACAGAGTTAACGTAACTCTTTTTCTCTCTCTCGTATCTATTTAAGCCAGACAGCATATAACACACGTTTTTGTACTCTGCAGAACCATTTGGAGGTGGGGACCGAGCCCATGTGAAGCACTGGGCAAAAACACATGCAGAGATTATTGAAGAAAAAAGACTGAAAGTTGTGTAAATGGGAATAATTTCTTTAATGTGTCTGATTCTTCATCCACGTGAATGAAAAACAAAGAGGCAAGTTTTACAGGAAATAAGATATTACTCTGAAATGCACTACTAATTAACTTCACTCTTCATTACTGTGTTATCAGCGACGTAATAACGAACGTTAAAAGTAAAACTAAGAACCAGTCTGTTAGCGTGTAATTTAAGAGATATCAGTGTTTGACTTCAGCCCAATATCCTCACTGTACAGTAAATAAAAGGCTACCCCATTTATTTTCTACTGAGATAACTTTATACTAATATAAATATCCTGAGGCCTTTAGACCACTGCACAATAATAGCGTATTTTATCAGAGCCATTTCACGGCGTGCTGGAACTCCCGGGTATTTTGCAGTGTGCTGTACACCTGTGAATTAGGAGATAAAAACCCGTCGTCCCACCGCATCAGCCCGGGCCGGGAGCCGCGCTGCGGTGGGCAGCGCAGCAGCACTTCATCTGCCGGGGCGCAAAGTCACCCCGATGCTCCCGCGCCCAGAAACGGCTCCTGGCGAGGCAGCGGCCTCCGGGGACGGGCAGCACCGGCTGGACCCCCCCGGGGACCGGCCCCAGCACTGCCCCACGGCTCGGGCGGCCGCGGGGTCACCCCCCGCCCAGCCCCACCGCCCGCCAGCGTCGGCCGAGCTCACCCCAGTCCCCCCCTGGAACTGCAAACCGGCTGGCACCGGGACCTCGGTGCCACGCCGGGGAGGAAGGCCAGCTCAGCCCCAGCCGCCGGGCTCAGCTCTGCCCGTCGCTGCTCACTTGTTTTCCAAAGAGCTTTCACTTCCCCAGCTCCAGAAGCAGAGCTAATATTTCTCTCTCACCATCACCAAACCATACGACGACTTACTGGCCTCGCAGTTTGGGCCCTACTAGGCTGCCCATCGTGCAAAACAACAACAACAAAAAAAAAAAAAAAAAAAAAGAAAAAGGCAGCTCCTGTAGATCAGCAGAGAGAACAGAGGTGAAGGAGGACGCAGCTCCGTGCTGCCAGGTGCCCCATCACCCACGTCGCCTCCTCCACCGAGTAACTGCGCTCTAGAAATGCCCGTGCACAGCCAGCACGGCCCAGGGGCACCTGTGGCAACCGGCCCCTGCAGCGCAGCCGAGCCACGGCTCCTCCCAGGGCGGATGGACGGACGGACGGACGGACGGGGCTGCTCTTTAGCATTTTTCATGCTCTTCCACGCCGGAAAAGGCAGATCCGGGCTCTGACGTTGCTGTTGCGAAGCAGCACAGCATCACCCGTTGGTGCCCCAGGACCAACCGGTGTCCTAGGCCCAACCAGTGCCCCCCCCCCGGTTACGAGGGCAGAGCCGGCCCCAGCAGGCTGAGCTCCTCCCGGGGTCCCAGCGCCACGCTCTGCAGGTCACGCAGCCCCCCCTCCCCGCCTGAAACCCCCTCCCCGGGGTGCCAGCCACAGACAGAGCAAAGGGTGAACGAAAAGGGAGAGACGGGAAAAGTCCACAGACCGTACTTGTAATTAAGATAATTAAAATATTTATCAAACAGAAATATGAGCGGAAGGATCCTACCGCTTTGCTTACCAAATTAGAGTCTCTCATTAAGTTAGTTCACTTTTATTAAAGCACGGGGTATTGATTTTTGTGAAACAAAACAAACTGACTGAAGCGTCGTTAGATGGGATGAATAAATCCCTTGCTAGAACACCCTGAAATAAAATCCATTTCAACTGCGCTAAAAAAATAAGGTAATTTTAAGGCCAAATTAGTAGGATGACAACCATTTGGAAACACTATTGCTGGGACAGCCAGTGGGCCTTGCTATGAATCCTCCTCAGATTGGATGAGACTGAATTCTGAAAATACACGGCCTGTAATGTTTGAACTCAAGTGATGTACACAGAAACTGCCCAGGCACGGGCAGAAGGTTTGTGCTGCTCTTTAAAATACACTGACTTAAATATCGCTCGTCAGGGACACTGCGTGTGTAGCATAAAGGAGAATTTAAATTTGATTTAAATGTTACCCTCACACTAGCCTCTCTTCATATTAAAAGGGAATGTTAACCCAAAGGACTGCATTAGTATTTTTTTTTCATGTTTACCCAAAGGTTGGCGTGTGCCTACACACTGCTTTGTATAAACCATGAGCGCTGTATTTGGCTACAGTTCATGAAACAAACAGGTTAACAGCGAAGAATATTTTAAGCAATGGTTCTTGCTGCTGGCTGCATTTTGACTTAAGCTTTTTCATAGTCCCAAATATGAATTTTCTGGCACTAGTGCTGCATCACTGTACTCAAATCAGGAAATAAAAATAAAATCGTGGCCTGTGCACACGTCTGTTGCGAGCTGTTGAAACTGAACAATCATTCTGAGGTTGCTCTGGAGGTAAAGCACGCAGAGTACAGCCGGCTTTTGTGCTGCCCGGCTGCACAGGGACTCCCCTCTGGTTCCGACCCGAAAGCCCCGCGCCTGCCGCGGTGACATGGAGCAGTTTAGTGAAAGAAAAGCCAATCAAAAGGGAGAAAACACAACGTGGGATCTTCTCACGCTGTGCTAACAGGCACTAAAGTCAATTTACTGTGACGATCCTACCACAACATTTGCTGCTTTTCTCCCCCACTTGCACTTTTTCCTGAAACAGCCGAGGCATAAAGCGCTGTGGGAGAATAACAGTTGTATTAATGGAACCAAATAAGCTACAAAATATTTACTGGTATTCTGTAGACCCACAAAACATGGGGCCAAATAACCATTTGGCACAAGCACGAGAGTCCTTTCTGCTGAGATGGTTTTTCCTAATGATTTAACTGTATTTTGAGGAGTTGTAATTGTCGCTGTGTTTTTTGAAATTAACATTGAAGAACCCATCTAACAGAGTGAATATAGGTTTCCTAATGGAAGATATCTAGACGTAAATTAAACTCCCTAAATTCGACCTGTGCCAGAAAGAAAGGAATAAAAGAGCTGTCAGAGAAGTGATAAAGCAGAAATATCTCTCTCTATATTTATATATTTTTCAACGTATGTTTTCCTTTGCTGCCATTTTACCCATTGAAAGAGAGAGCTTCAGCCAGGGGAGCACTGTTTGTCGTTTTATGCAGAATATATCAGCCTTGCTCCCACATTAATCAGCGCCAGTCTCGCTCATGCATTAATCAGTATCCCCTAATGTCTGAGCCAGAAATTTACATCACAAGGCTTCTGGGCCAAATGTATCCCTAGGTGAGCTGGGACGACCTCTCTGCACGGCATTAGAGAGGGGTCTGGCACAGGGTGCTCAGCTCCCCAGCGTGCATGTACGCGGCAGGCTGGGGCCAACCACCTCCACGTTCGCTGAAACGCGGGATTCCTGCAGAGCAAGGAACTCCGCCACGGCGTTCGGCTTTGTGGAACGCTGCACTGCGCGTCCTTGCTGAGGTGTGGGAGAAACAAGATCGGATGGAACTTAGGATCCCTCTGCACTCTGACCAGATGAGAGGTTGCCGACGGCTTCTCCTTCCCCCACCCCTCGGCTTTTTGTCGAGAGTCTGATTATCCGTCGTGCTTCCTGCCAAGCCCGAGCGGTGGCTCGTGCAGGTCTGACTGACGCGCGCCATACATCACCCGGGGCAAGCTTTCTGCTCAGCCTGGCAACGCGCTCTAAAAACCAAAGACTAATTCCAGCAAGTAATTCCCTGAGAAGGCTCCCCCGAGTGAATGGAAAACATCCAGTGTAAATCTTCTCAAACCCAGGAATTTCCTAGAGCCCGTGCAATTGCAAAGGAAACGCCTGTTTACAAAAATCGGACCGTAAAAGAGATCGCTCACTTTCTTAATTTTAAGAAATAAGTTGCAAAAAATGAATTAAATTATCTAAAGATTAACAAAATTAATTAACAGTATTACTGCAGGCAAGGGGGAATTAAGCTGTACAAAGACCTACAGACCAGCGCTTATCGCATCCGATTTCTCCAGCAGTTAGTGGTGTTTGTGGGATTTTACAGCGTGTAAGCACGCCTGCTAACGCCCACTGCAACCCACTGAGCGAAGCCAAGAAGCGCACATACCACAGGCTGTAAGGGGGCACCAGGCATCATGGCATTGGCGAGCTGCATCTGCTGGGCCAGCATGGCCATGTTCTTCTGCTGAATCAGGTTATTGCGCCCATTTATCTCCAGCTGCGTTTTTAAGTGTGGTGGCGGGTGAAGGTATTTGCAGTTCTCTCTTGAGCATCGACCCTGAGGAAGAGAATGGACACAACCGGGTTAGGAGCTGTAGGTGGATCCTCATTCCTTATGTCATCGGCTAAAACAAACACAACACACGCTACAGAGCCAGGAGGAACCCCCCCGCCACTTCTCCAGGCTGTCGCACGCTGGCCACAGCAGCCTGACAATCCTAGTGTCAGCTGTTTGCTTCTCTAAACTATGTTTTTCTGCAGCACAGCTCTAAAAATCACTCTTTTTTTTTTTTTTTGACAAGTTGCTGACGGTGAGCCTACCTCTCAGTTGTTTCCGAAGCCCAGCGTGCCCACCCTCTACATTTTTGCCCAGCGAAGGCCGTGCCCGCGGGGAGTGGGCACGGCTGCCCCTGCCACAGAGCGGCCTTGGGGCAGCTCCGGAGCCACAAACCCAGCGGCAGCGAGGGGCGACCGGCCGCAGCGCTGAGCCGGCAGCCGGGCTGCCCGGGGGCACAAGGAGCACGGCGTGCACAGCAAAGCGCCTGGTCCGAGTAGCGTTATTACCAGGAAAACAGCACCAGCTCTTCTGCGCTTTTGCCAGAGCTGGAATACAGCACCTTTGGAGCAAGCCTCTCACATACGATGCAATTTTTTTTTGGTTGTCGTTGCAATTGTGTCAACCAAACAAGAAAACCAGAATTGTTGCTAAATTTCTCATCAAATTTAGATGCCGTAGAACAACAAATTTCACGCACTAATTTTATTTGGATGAAAGGACTTTCATCAGTTTGACAAGCGTTCACATCAAGAAATAATAAAAGATAATTCTATGCATACCAATTCCATACCCAAACCCCAGCGCACCTCCTTCGCGGGGAAGCCGGCCCGGCTGGGTGGGCGCCCTCCCCAGCTCTGGGTGCCCCCACCCGCGGGGTCCCAGCTGGGCGCGGGGTGCTCGGGCACGGTGGGCACTTCAGAAAACCAGCCCCGAGCCACGGCTCCACTGAAAAACCTCTAAAAGGGAAGGGCCGGCCAGAGCGACGCCCGCGCGGCCGCCAGACCCGGGGCAGGCCGGGGAGGAGAAGCCCCCCTCTCCTGGGGGAGAGAACCCCCTCTTCTCACGGCACGTGGGCTGTGCTCTCGCACGCCGGGAGACTTCAGAAAATTGCAAAGTCATTCGTATGGAAGCTTTACACACTAATTGTTCTTTAAAATTGCAACAGCGGGGCCCATGCTTTCACTAAAGGGATGATAACGATTAAAAAAAAAAAAAAAAATCCACAACAGAGAAGGAGGATTGAATCCTTTTCTGGAGAAAAACAGATTCCTTAAATTACATTTTTTTTTGCTTTACTCATTCATCTTTGAAATAAATCCAAACAGGAACAATGACAAGGCAAAAGAAAGCCTTAATTTACGTAAGAATCCATTTTAATCAGAAAACATTAATTCAATATAGTTCGACCTTATACTGCAATTTTGCTCAGAAAGTTAAAATGTACTCTTCTTCTAAGATCTGCCAGAAGTCTAATTTGTATGATGACTTTTGTCTCCCCTTAGGGCTGGGAGAAATGGTTTGCTGCTGCTGCCCCCCCCAATCTGTCTCTCCTGCTGGCAGTCCAAAGTTCACAAAACTCATTTTCGCCGTTATTCAGCTGACACCGGCGTGATCCCTGCGTAGGAGAGACACCTGGCACAAAGGAAAACACGCAGAGTGCCGCGGGGAACATCAGGCTGCACCCCAAGATTACAGAAAGCCCTCTGTGTATGAAGGCGGCTGCTGTAATTAACGGCAAAGCAAGCTCATCTTTCCGAGCGCCCGTCCTGCAGTGAAATGCCCTTTCCATCCCGCGACCCCCGCGACCTGCAGACTCGCTGCCCCCTTGGTGGCCCCGGGGGGCTCCCCCAGCCCTCCCCTCCCGCAGCCCCGGGAGCGGCTCCGTCCGAAACCGACTGCAAGAAAATCTCCCCAGTGCCACAGCTCCGAGGGTTGGGGAGCGATCGAGACGGCGGCCAGATAACGCGCAGAAGCTGCAAGCACAGCATCGGTGCTACAGGTAAAACGGGGGAAACAAACATCTGCAGACTGAGGGAATATTTTTACAGGGGAACGGGGCTTCCTCCTGCAAATAAGGATTAGGATCCTTCAGTAACAAACATTAATGATTCATAAGTAGGGAAGACAGTTCGATGGTGGCAACAGGAATCGGTGTTTAGGGAGCGTGAATTTCAGTCCCTGCGCTATTAATTGAGAAAATATTTTTGTATGCCTGTGTATACACACACATACAGGCATGCATATATATATATATATGTGTGTGTGTGTGCACGTGCTGGTCGCTGTTCCACCCGCGGGAGCTCCCCGGGCCCCTCCGGGGCGGCACCCACCCGTGTCGTGGGGACCAAAGCCACCCCGAGGCCCGAGGGCGTGGGACGTCGGCCCCCCAGCCCAGCTGCCCGGCTCGCCTTCGCTGGGGCGAAGCACGCTTTGGACTAAACCACCCGCAGTTCCCTCCGTGAATGCCTCGCTGACACCACTGCTCCGTATTTAGGCCATTTTGCCCAAATAAAGCTGCATCATTTCAGCACGCCCCCCTGCAGCATTTCACAGTCACGGGCAATGGTAGGTAAAAGGCCAGCACTTCGGAACAGCTTTGTTTATGTCAATTTTTCTCTGGATACTAAAACCCATGTTAACTGTTGCCACTAAGTAACATGGGGCAAAATTACACATTTACTAGCTGCCTGTAAGATGGTATCTTACATTAGCACAGTGTAAAAATCAGACTTAATTACTGCTAAATGAGTAACACGAAACTGCAACATGTGTTGCTGGAATCAGCGAGGAGCAATTAACAAGCCTGATTGCAAAAGGCAGATTAAACTCCATGTCCTCATTTCTGTGCTGGGGTTCAGGCTGCTCCAGACTGGATCCAAAGTCTGGCAGGACACGTTGCACCTCACGACCGCTTAACGTGCTTCCTGGACACAAACGCTCTAAGGCCAGAAGAAACCACTCCCAAGCCCTAACGCAACGTCCTTGGGCTCCTGGGAAACAAGACCCGTCTGCTGTTTCCCCACCAAGGCCACCATTTCCATTTGCTTAGCAGCTGATCTTTAATTTACTCCGAGTTAAAGACTACCAGAGTATACCGTGTCCCCAGGTAAACTGTTCTTACGCTTAGTTATCATTAGCTACTACCAAGAAGTTCATGCCTTTCTCGGTTTTATGTTGCTTTGGAGTCTAGTGCAGCATTTAACTTTCAATCTTTTTGCATTTTCAGACCCTAGCAGATTTTCCAAAAGAAATGCAGACTTTTCTGCATTGGGAACAGAGTTTCTTGTCTTCTGCTCCACAGAACTTCAGAAATGGTCCACCGAGTGCTCAGGAGTCGGAAACTGCAGGCTGAAAATCACAGTCAAAAATGTCAATCAAGAACACGGACTGGATTAATCTCCTTTATACTGCGACAAGTAGCTTCTTAACTGCCTTTTCGGTAGAATCTGGCAACTTCAGTCAACAAAGTTTAAGGCAGATTTTCATCCCTCCAAACATTTTCTGAACCGTTTGCTGTTTTTGCAGTCATAAAAAAATGACCACTACGAGCAAGTAAATTCAGAGAAGCGGAAATGGAGCACGCTGGCAGCGTCCCGAAATGCTCTACCAGGACACAGGTAGGGCTTTACCAGAATCCTGCTGGACTAAAACTTCGCAAAAATGCTCCCGAGGCTCCTCGGGCGCGCTCTTCAGCTGGGCACGGGCACGCTCCCCGGCGCCGCGGTGAGCCCGGAGCGTGCCCTGCGCGGCTCGCAGCAGGAACGCCGGGGCGGGAGGCCGTGCGGGCCCCGCTCACATCATGTTTTTCTCCCGCTGTCGTATCAACACGATCCAGGCAGAGAGCCCAGGCTGAACGAAGCAGCCAGCCTGACGGTCGTTAAATGAGGGCAGCGTGCTGTCTGCAGTATTTTAAGCTGTCTAGCCTTGGCAAAAGCGGGCGACGGCGGATCGGCGCAGAGGAGCGGGTGGCGCTCACCCACCCGGGGACCGGAGCGGGGTGCCGGGAGGTGCCCCCCCCGCCGTGCGAGGCGTGGGTCTGGGGGGGCCGCTGCTCCCCGTGCCCCTCAAACAGGTCACTGGCCCGAGCTGAGCTGGGGGCAGCCGCCTCCCCAGCACCGTTTGGGGAGGGACGGGGCCGAGGGCCCAGCATCTCCCTGGGAGCTCTGTCCATCCGTCCGTCCTCACTGCCTGCTGGATCAAGCCCACCTCTGAATACCCCCGTCTGAAGACCCTCTGCACCACCGCTCCTCCTCCCCGCAGCGTCTCCACCAGCCCTCCTCACGCCCAGGCGGGTGCTGAGCCGGTGCAGCTCCTGCGCCCCGGTGTCGGCACACGCTGCACCCCTCCGAAAATGCCCAGAGGACCTCGTCTGCCCCTCACCCCCTGCCAGGCCCCCCCATGCTCCCAGGCTGCTGCCAGACTCGCCGCTGGTGTCCCAAGCGCTCGGCACACACCGCTGGCTGTGCCAGCGCTGCCAGCCGGCACCGGCACCCGGCGCTGCTCCGGGAAAGCCGGGTTCGCATCCCAGCCAAAGCCGCGGCAGCCGGGTAAGTGGGGAAAAAAGCCAAACCGGGAGCAGCTGCAAAGTCAGGAACTGCAAGAGCGGGAGCTGCCACGCTGCGTGAGGAGCCGGCGCAGGGGGGGTGACCCCAAATGGCCAGGACACCGGCAGGCAGCATGGAATCATCCAACACGGTGTTTTGAACCTTGCATGGCTTCCTAAGAAATAAAAAACAGACACCAAAACATAACTTAAAAAATTGGTTACTGCTAATCTCAAGCTTTTGCTATGACCTGCACACCAGGTGAGTGCGTGCAGAATTGCGGAAGAGGCAACACGCAGAACTCGGACAAAAAAGAAAGCACAGTCAATCCTGTCTTGGAAGAATCACCCCAAAAATTCCGCATTCTGAAAATACAGTGGAAGTATTTCTACAACACTGGGATCATCTGACAAACACGATGGATTTTGGGGTTACACCTGTCTATTTAAGACTTTCACA